TCATAAATTCTAATGTCACACTCAATACCATTGAGCACTTTGACTCCACCTCCCCCCACTTTATGAATTATCCCAAAGAAATATATTCCTGAGAATTTATACTTCCCAGGATCATGGTCATTTCATTGTTTTTAGATGTCCCCACAAGGTTTATTTGCTTCATTCATTATTTCACTCAGGAAGCACATACTATTTTTATGTACCTTCTCTTGATTTGGATTTTGCTTTAATGCTCAAGAGGAAAGTTGTGGAAGGAACCCATACCCGGACAGTGCCATATCAAGGGGAGTTGATGGCTTAGATCAGTCACTTTGAGTTTTATTCTAGTCTTTACCAGCTTTAGGACAAAACTGTAAAATTTGAGAAAGAATGAAAATAAAGACAGTGTGTTCGGCATTAAAAACCCTAGGGAGCCCAGCTTGGTTTTGGGGCACAAGGAAGGGGTGCCCAAAAGGAATGCATCCAGCAGGCACTTGACAAACCTACAGGATGCTCTGGTAAAGTTGTGATTCCACTTGACAGAGGGGAAAAGTAAGGCTCAGAGAAATAAAGACCACCTTGGCCAAGGTCGTGTATTTTTTAAGTGATGAAGCTAAGCTATTAGCTCCCAATTTCCCTTTGTGAATTCTAGAGCTCAGCCATGCATTAGCTGTTTGACGTAGAGGAAACCCCCTAATCCTCTGTGCCTTGGTGTCTTCACCAGTCAATCGAAGAGTCTGGAGTAAGAACTACATGGCCTGCAGAGAGCCCTTGTAGCTTTAACATCCTATGCATACAATGAGTATGTGAGCATGATTACAAGGACTGGCTGTTTATGAGCCAATCAGAGGTATTCGATAAGAACCTCCCCACCAGGCCAAGGCGGGAAGGGGAGGGCAAAAGGAAAAAAAAACCACACACACACACACACCACACAACTTGGATGAGAAATCTATAAAAGCTGAGTGTTCCCAAAGATTCGTCCTATTTGGCAGCTGCTGCCTCACCCACGGCTTCTGATCTCTAAGAGGACGCTCTGCTCACACATTGTAAGTAAGCACCAGGGATTAAGGGGTTAATGAAAGCTTGTGGAGGGGAAAGTTTGTTTGCTTTTGTTTTCAGGAAAAACAGGATGGTGGCTGAAAACACCACGATCTGCTGAAACGTTTGTTTTTCCTCACACCTTTCCTGGCAGCAAACTGCTCAAGATTGCTGCTGTTCCCAGTGTTACCTGTCTGAGGGCTCTTTGAGTCTTGGCCTGGGAAAGACAACTTGAATGCACCCATTGGGTTAGGTTCTACTCAGTTTTTGAGATGCCGGCTCATTTCTACTCTTTCCACAACCACTGCTTATTTTGATGATTTATTTACGTATCTGTCACCTTCTGTCACTTTCTTCATTCTCTTCCCACACGGACGAGTGTCAGCACTGAAGTTTCTTTGCCACAGAAATGGGCTCTGACGTGTGTTGCCCTTGGCCTTCATCCACTGCTCAGATGAGAAAGTGGAACAGGCTTGGAGACCTCACAGAGCAGCGTTGTCATCTGATTATAAAGTCTCAAACCTTCCACTGGTTTGATGCTGTCTACAGTCTTTCCCACTGGCACCAAGCACCTCGAAGGCGCTACAGCTTAAGATATTTGGAACCAATGTATTTAGGTGTATTTGTTCCACTCTCTGAAAAAAAAAACAAGCAAAAAACCCAAAACAGGCATGTTGTGAAGATATGTTGCCTTTTAAAATAAACTTGACTCTAAATGGTGGCCTGGGGCTCCATTAGCCAGTTGGGACCCTGCTGCCATCATTGTGGTGGCCAAGGTGTCTCTGGGGAAGACCCAGGCCAGGCTGGACCTGAGGTGCCAGGCCGGGGAATGGGGCGTAACTGCTAGGAATTCCTTGCCAGTTTAGAGGAAAGAGCAACCCTCTCTCCGGGCTGCTGCATGTGTGTTCACAGGCACCAGGGTTCAGGCTGGCAGAGCATCCCACTGCCTTGCCACGGTGGCATTGGGATGGGGGATGAGGCTGTGAGCATCTTCCATCCGTACATAAAAGTGCTGCTCACAGTGCCTGGCCAGCACAGGCTTCCAAAGACTAAGCCCCTGGTGTCTGTCTTCTTGCAAATCCATCTGCCTTGCACATGGAGAAGCAAATAGACTCTCCACTGCCTTATATTTCTCCAGAAGTTGAATATTCATATTTCATAAATTATTATCTTTCCAGAGAACCTCTCCTAGGGAGGCAGAAAGAGTCGCACTGTAGGGTTCCTTCTGTTATTTTGCTGAGAAGGATTGGAAATTGGGATTCCAAGTCGTACACCAATAGGATGTGATTTATAAGCCTAAACATCACAACTTAGAAGGGGCCTCAGACATATTCTTCCCGGGCCTCTGTCTCCTCGTTTCTCAAGTTGGCAGGGCTGATACAGGGTGCTCCGAGGTCACTTGCAGCTCTGCTTTTCCGTGGTTACCTTCTGTTCATATATGTGCATACTCACAGCCTTCTCCCAGATTTAGACATATATCACCTGTTAATGTATTACATATAATAAATTAAGTAATGTGTAACCCTGTTTAGTAAGAAATCCAACATGAAAAAGTTTAAACAGGGAAATATGAGTCATTCCACCCCATCTCATTCCCTAGGGGTAGCCCCGGGGTGGTTCTTCCCTGTTTATATAGACATACAGGCAGTATGTGTGTATACCCTGTTTTTAATTTTAAAAGAATGAGATTATGTATTGCATGCTTCTCTGAAACTGGATTTTTTTCACTTAATAATATAGTGTGAACAACTTCCAATCGCACTCTTAAAAATGTTGACTTGAGCCCTGACCGGTTTGGCTCAGTGGATAGAGCGTTGGCCTGCGGACTCAAGGGTCCCGGGTTCGATTCTGGTCAAGGGCATGTACCTTGGTTGTGGGCACATCCCCAGTAGGGAGTGTGCAGGAGGCAGCTGATCGGTGTTTCTCTCTCATCGATGTTTCTAACTCTCTATCCCTCTCCCTTCCTCTCTGTAAAAAATCAATAAAATATATTTTTTTAAAAAATGTTGACTTGAGACCTCCGTGAGCAGAAGCCAGGGGCAGAGAGATCACTCTCTGTCATTCCCACTCCCGCTGGCCTCCTGTCCCCGGTGGTGGACGTTGGCCTGTGACCCTGATTTATGATTAACAGACGGGTAACATTTGCGCTGATGTGGTACAGACCTTTAAACCTTCTGTAGAAGTTTAACTTCCCATAAACAGATTTGGGTTGCTTCGACCTTTCCTCTCTTGGTTTTTCTGGTTGAGTCAGCACACTCGGCCTGAAGAAAATAGCTTGGTGACAAATAGAAACATGGAAGTCCCTTAGGTAGTTCTATTTTAAACAGTCAAAAAAGAAATAATAATAATAGCTTACATTTTCATAATGCTTTATAAAGTACCTTCATGTTTATCACACAATTCGACAAATTTATTTTGAGCGAACACAACGAGTAGAGTGCTTGTGGGTCACAGGTGATCCATTTGGCAATGAGACAACCAGAGCAGATATTACTGCCATTTAATCCATAATAAACTCAGACTCAGAAATTACCGCTTTGCCCATGGTCCCAGCCAGGGGTGGCAGAGCTTGTCCTTGAACCAGGTCTATTTGCTCTACTAGCAGCAAATGTGTGTGTGTGTGTGTGTGTGTGTGTGTGTGTGTGTGAGATGCTTATGAATTGGTAATGTCAGTGGTGTGGGGATAATGATCTACAGTCCAAGGATTTGGGGTACCTTGAGGGTATCATCACCAAGTATTCTGAGGGTGTCCTCAAGGACATTAGAGCCATCTAAGGCTGATTCCTTTCACCAAGCTCACTCTTTCCTGGAAATAAAGGAATACTGTCCCTTATCCCAACTTTGTGTCTTATTAGCTATTTGTCTTTGGACAAATCATTAAACACTCTTATATTCTTTCCTTATCTATTATATGGGAAGGGGGGAATTCCAGCTGCCTTCTGGGATTATTGTGAGGCATAAATTATATAGTGCATGCAAAGCAAGTAGCAGAGCGCTTGGCAGTCAATGATAATTGCTACTATTATTGCGCTATTTGTGTATGAGTGTATGAGGGGGAGAGGAGGCCATAGGATTGGATAGGAAATGGCTCAAGATAATCTTCACTATGGTTTGTCCTTTTTGATAGCTCATCCTATGCAAGATCACTTCTTATAACATATAAGATAAAAAGAGCCCTGTGAGGTTGCATTTTTAAGACTAGTCAAAGTGGCAGCTGAACAGGTGCAGTGATCCCCTTCAGAGGCCCACTGCCAATCTCCCTTCACTAAAGCAGTGAAACTGAGAATTATTGGGACAGGGATTACCCCATGACTTCAGCACCCTTGGACCCTGGGAATTTCCAGCCCAGAGGCACTTAGGAAAAACCCTACCCATTGGCCTCAAGTGGTCTCATAGGTGTTTGAATACAGGAAAAAAGGAAGCTTGCACTCCACCTTGTAGATCCCAACACTGAAGAAATGTTAGCTTCAAGTCCAAGTGGTGGCCTCTCCTCTCAAGCGTATTGCCTGGAGAATAGTCTGGTGGGCTATAGACTAACAGAACAAAGTAGAGAATGGCCACACAGGCCAAAAGCCTCACTGCCCTGGCCTCAAGCCATCTAGGGTACCCGATGGCACCAGAAATCCACAAAGTAGAGAGTCAATTACTGCAGTGCCATCTACCTGTCAGATGCGATGTGTCACTAACTCGCTGGTTCAGTCTCAGGAACCGTTATCCCAAAGGTGCCCTGGAAGGCATTCTATTTAGCATCACCATGAACATTTACCCTCCCACCTTCAGCCATTATGGCTAACTGCAACTACTTAGGCTAAGGGGGAAAACCCCCTCCCTCCCAGACCTCATTTGTTTGTGCACTTGTAGAAACGGGCCAGAAATGGCAGAGGGCCTGTAGGGCTAGACCGCACACCCAGCTGCCTTAGTCATGAGTCCATCCGATCCACCCTCAGTTTTGTTCAGGACTCTCCTGCACTCTTTTCCAGACCTGTCACCATGGCCCACAAATTCCCAGCCCTCACCGCAGACCAGAAGAAGGAGCTCTCAGAAATCGCCCAGCGCATCGTTGCCAATGGGAAGGGGATCCTGGCTGCCGATGAGTCTGTAGGTGAGTGCAAGAAGCATCATACAACAAGCATACTCTTGTTTCTACACGTCGCAAAGGCAACTTGATATCCTTGTTTTCTTTCCTCTCAGACGAGTAAAGGCTTATGCCAGGGGTCCTCAAATTTTTTAAACAGGGGGCCAGTTCACTGTCCCTCAGACTGTTGGAGGGCCGGACTATAGTTTAAAAAAAAAACTATGAACAAATTCCTATGCACACTGCACATATCTTATTTTGAAGTAAAAAAACAAAACGGGAACAAATACAATATTTGTATTTGCATGTGGCCTGTGGGCCGTAGTTTGAGGACTCCTGGCTTATGCACACAGGAGTGGGAGCAGAAGGCTTAGGAAGCAGAGACCTTTGGGGTCCTGTCATTCCAGTTGGCAGATTTCTGAAAACCTAAAACAGAGACTCAGCCTTCCATTTTGAGGCCCCTTGCCAGAGGACATTGGAATTCAGGCTATAGCAAGACCAGGAATTCAGTAACCAGAATGAGGTCAGATACACAGCCTGCTGCTGCTAATAAGAAGTCAGCCAGGGAAGGGCAGAGAGGCAAGGAAGTGTCCACATCTGGCACAGGGAAGCGCTTGTGTCTAAGTAAGCCTGAGAAGGTAAAAAGGAGAGCTGTGGTGGGCCCGCACGCCACCAGGAAACGATAGAAGCCAGAGAAGTCAACAGTCAGATTGAGGGATGAACCAGAGAGGCTGGGGAGAGGCTGGAGGGCCTTAGCTACCACCTGGACCCACTGGTGGCTTCCCTGACTCAGACATGCCCAGCCCGTCCTCTTCCTGCCCAGCAGCCAAAGGAGACAAAAAAGAGGCAGGAGTTCTGATCGTGGGGAGGAAAGCCGGGCTGGCTCCTTACACTGCCTTTGCCCGCCCACCCATAGGCACCATGGGAAACCGCCTGCAGAGGATCAACGTGGAGAACACAGAAGAGAACCGCCGGCAGTTCCGTGAAATCCTCTTCACCGTGGACAACTCTGTCAGCCAGAGCATCGGGGGCGTGATCCTGTTCCATGAGACCCTCTACCAGAAGGACAGCCAGGGCAAGCTGTTCAGAAACATCCTTAAGGAAAAGGGCATCGTGGTGGGGATCAAGGTGAGTCCTTGCACTCCCCTCACCTCTAAGTGCCCAGCCCAGGGGCTGTGGCAGGGCCAGCAGTCGGAACATGTCTCATCATCTGCTTTCCATCACACCTTCCCCTGAGAACCGATCCTCTTCTAGACTTTTCCTCCCATGCCCTCTTCTTTCAACCATTTTCTACAAGGTACTAAATCTCTTAGTGTCTCAATTTCCTCATTTCTAACATGGGAATAATAGTACCTACTTCATAAGATTCTTATAAGGAGGAAATGTGTTTTAAAAACAGTCCCAGTCACAAAATTAGTATTCAGAGCATGATAGCTGTGATTATGAAAGCACTCACTATTCTCTCTTTAACTAGGTCTTCCAATACTGCACAAGAGTGAAGTATTCAATAACTGCTTAGACCTCCAGGGACTCATTTAATCCTCCTGACAACCTCTGGAGGCTGACTCAGTTATTCTCCTTATTTTAGAGGTGAGGTGAGAAAATGGAATTACAAGGGTGACATGACTTGCCCGCAGCAAGGCAAAATTGGAGGCCGTTTGAGCCCAGACTGTCCACCTCTCCGGCTCATGAACTTAGCCTTTGCTCTGCGGAGAGTAGAGGCTGCATCCTATTCTCTTCATCTCCTGTAATAACACAGTACCTGCGATGCGAAGGTGCTCCACCATGCCTCTTGAATAAATGAATGAATAATTTAAGGGATGCTGCTCTTATACAGAACCTCTATACTCGTATTCCTAGTGCCATCAGATTACTTCTTCCTTCCCAAGCTCCAGGCCTGTGCTTTCCATCCTCTTAGGGTTGACCTTGACCCTCTTACATTGTTCCTTCCAGGTAACGTCCCTTCTGCTATGGACTGTTGTGTCTTTCTGTTGTGTAATCCATTTTCCTAACTGAACTCCTTGATTTGTGAAAGATGGGAACTATTAGTCAGCACCAGGACCTCTGCTGGTGTTTTATTGCTGGTGTTTTATTTACTGGGAGACCTGACACCTGCTGATTACTTGTTAATTATTTAATTCACAGTTCTTGCAGGAACAAACAAGGAAACCACCATTCAAGGTAAGGATACTGCCCACTGATATGAATCATGCCAATATATGCTAGAAATGAGTAAGTGAAAATAAATTACGAATATCACATGGGGATTAAAGCCACCTGCACCTGATTTTCAATCCGAGCTCCTCTAGTTGAGAACTGTGTGACCTCTGGTTAGTCACTTAAGTGTTCTGTGGCCATTCTAGGGGATAACAATATCTGCTTTGCAGAATAGTTTTGAAGATTAAATGAAACAATATATATAAAGGACTTACCACAGAGAAGATACTCTGTCACTGGGAATATTATTTTTAGAGAAAAATCCAGCAGCAGTAGAGGGTAATGGTCTCGGGCTCTGGGATTGGACATACCTGGGTTTGAATCCTGGTTCCATCACTTACGACTTAGATAATTTTGCTAGGTACTTCACTGCCCAAGTAGACAAGTATAAACCACAATACTGGGTTAGCTACACAGAATTTGAATCCCAGCTCCATCACTCTCACTATGCAAACTCAGTCAAGTCACTCAACCTCTCGGAGCCTGGTTATCCACATCTGTAAAATGAGTACAATATTAACTATTAGGGTTGTTATGGTGACTAAATGAGAAATGGTGTGCAAAATGCATAGAATCATTCCTGAAACATAGCAAGTACACCAACCAAATATTCATTCCCTCTATTCTTATGTGCATCAAAACATATTTATTAAATCCAGGTCTCTCGGCTCAGTGTTGGGACCCATGTTTACTTGTCTGGTTGTTTTTGGCTCTCAAGCTCTGCTGACTGGAAGCTAAGCCAAGGGAGCACTCCTTCACTTTATCGGCCCCAGGGGTCAGGGACAGGGCCACAAAGAAGCCATTCTCTCTTTTGTGACTTACAGGGCTCGATGGCCTTTCTCAGCGCTGTGCTCAGTATAAGAAAGACGGTGTTGACTTTGGGAAGTGGCGTGCTGTGCTGAGGATTGACAACCAGTGTCCATCCGCCCTTGCTATCCAGGAAAATGCCAACGCCCTGGCTCGCTACGCCAGCATCTGCCAGCAGGTGCGCAGGCTTCCCCTTGGGCTAAAAAACAGTAGGCGATGCTATCTTTATAGCCTATCTTTCTAATTTTACTATAGCCACACATGAACCCTCTTCTCCCCCCGCCAGTGTATCCTGGTGGCATTTTCACTACTTCTGCTATAGCCGCGTGTGGTAGGGAAAGATGTGGTTGCCCAAGCCAGCTAGGAGCCCAAACGGCAGATGCCCTCAACTGCTGTTCTTCCAAGTGGTCAGGCTTTTGAGGCCAGGGCCCTTGCTTGTCTGTGTTCCACCATGTCCAAGACAGGATCCTCTGAGGTCCCCAGGTCAAGGGTGATAGCGCTGACCCAGTCCACACAATTTCATGGAGGATGGAGACTTGATGCTAAAGTTTCCAACATGTGTTGACGTGTCTCTGAGTCACTTACATGATATTTCTCCAAAAGGGCTTCATTTTATACCAACCTCAACTGTTGAATAATCTCTTAAGGAAAGGATCCCCGTGAGCAGAGCTTCACTCTTTCTCCCCTTTTTCCTTTTTAGAACGGGCTGGTACCTATTGTGGAACCAGAGGTAATTCCTGATGGAGACCATGACATGGAACACTGCCAATATGTTACTGAGAAGGTAAGTCCAAATCCTAGTTGAAAAACCTTGCTTTTAAGTAACAGCTATTACTTAACATATATCAGCTGCTATATGAGAAATATTCTCAGTCGGCATCATTATGTAGCATTGAGAAGGTAAGGAGGTATTAGCAAACCTACCACTTCTGGGTACATGGTATGCTCCTTATGAAAAAAGCACAGGACTTGCAGTACCGAGACTAGGCCTTGAGAATCCATGTATCTACTTGTGGGGCCTCAGTTCCATTAGGTGTAAATTAAGAAATTTTAAAATAAAATGAGGCTTACATAAAACACATGCGATTAGAAAGTAATTTGTCTACTTGTGACTTCCTAAATTAGCCACAGTATATCTGCGGGAGAGTGAGAGGCATAATGTAACCTGACCTCAGTTTTTTCCTTGACAAAATTAGGTGGACTAAAATGAGGTCTGAAAGCACTTCTGTGTCTGAAATGTATGTGTTTATGACCACTTAGCATCTAAGGGGAAGGAGAATGGAGGCCAATTTAGATGTCCCCTAACTAAGTCCAGGCAGTCTCCACTGACCAAAGGGAGTGATGGGAAGGAAGGAGTGAGGGGAAGCAGCCATGCCAGCAGACCATGCAGGGGGCAGCTAGAGTAGGGGTGGCGGGTACAGGCCAGCTTGGCTGTGCTCAGTGGCTGTGGTTTGCAATACATTTCCCTGATGAGGCCTGGGGGCTGGTTGAGAAGCTTTGGCCAAGCCACATACGAGAATTCCTTCATCCTGTATCCGTGCAGCATAAAAGTGCCAAGGGCAGGTGACTCTAAGGCTGGCTCTGGGTTTCATCTGTTTGGATCTCTTATCCTTCAGGTCCTGGCTGCTGTCTACAAGGCCCTGAACGACCATCATGTGTACCTGGAGGGCACCCTGCTGAAGCCCAACATGGTGACCGCTGGGCATGCCTGCACCAAGAAGTATACTCCAGAGCAAGTGGCCATGGCCACTGTCACCGCTCTCCACCGTACCGTTCCTGCTGCTGTGCCTGGTAAGGCTTTCCTTCACCTCTAACTCCAGGTCTTGGCCCTTGGCCTTTGAAGTTCCACAAGCATTTTGTTTGTCCAGGGTCTTCCACCCATGAAGCAGACCCCTGCCACCTCACAGGCAACAGCACTTCCCCTCACACTCTGTAATACCACATATCCTGAGTCTGCCCACATGCACACGATCCATTGATTTCCTCAACGTTTCACCTCCCTCCTTACTTAAGAAAGCCCTTGTATCCCTAGCCCAACTAGCCTCAACAAGGGAAAATTAATATCCCCGACCCAGTCCCATGCAAATCAAGCAGAGAAAAGATTGAAACATTACATTCCTTTTAGGCCCATTGCTTGCTTTCTCGAGCTGGGTCCACAAGCTGAGACTAATTGAGTGGAGTGGTTTCTCCCCTTCTAGGCATCTGCTTTTTGTCTGGTGGCATGAGTGAAGAGGATGCTACCCTCAACCTCAATGCTATCAACCTTTGCCCTCTCCCCAAGCCCTGGAAACTAAGTTTCTCTTATGGACGGGCCCTGCAGGCCAGTGCACTGGCTGCTTGGGGTGGCAAGGCTGCAAACAAGAAGGCGACACAGGAGGCTTTTATGAAGCGGGCTGTGGTAAGATGCTACTACCTCTTATGTACTTGATCAAGTGGATACTTGGGGCCTGGTTCTGTCATGTGGAAAAACTTTGCTTTCTCAGCCCATGAAGGTATCTCCAGATAATGTCCACTGGGTATTTGAAAATGTGGCATTGGAGCTCAATAGGAAGGTGAGGGCTAGAGAGAGTTTTGAGTTGTCCACACTGTGTGCATAGCTGATGACAGATTGAAGGACAATGTCCACAGAGACACTTCAGAGGAAAGATAAGAGGGATAAGGACTGAACCGGGACACCTTTCATTTTGGGAAGATGAAAAAGAGAAGCCACTCTAACAAGCAGCAATAATATGATAGGATAAACCAAGGATTCTGAGAACAAAGAGAAAAAAATTTCAAGGGGTCAGTAACAACACACTTCAGAGAGATTCAGAATAAAGGCTCAGAGAAGGCAGAGATGGTCATAGGTGATTATCAGTGACCCTCAATAAAATAGTTTCAATAGAGAGAGAAGAAAAAAAGTGCACATTCAAGAAGTTTGTCAGGAGAAAACCTAGAAAGGTTACCAGGAGAAATGAGGACAAAAATGATTTTATTCAACTAGTAACCATTTATTTTGAACACCTATTATGAGCCAAGGACTAGGGTGAATAAAGCAGATCAGCCATTGCCTTTAGGGAGCTTAGAGCTTAGCCAAGTAGGAGAGAGCTTGGCATACTTAGATGTAAAGAACACTATCAAGAGTGTGAAAAGACACCTCGTAGAATGAATGAACATATTTGTAAATCTGATAGGTGATAAGGTTTTATTATCCATCTCAGTAACAAAATGGAAACAACCCAGTTAAAAAAATGGGCAAAGGAGTGGAATAGACACTTCTCCATTGATGAAGTACAAATGGCAATAAATAGATGAGAAGATTCTCAGCATCTCTAATCACCAGGGAAATGCAAATCAAATCCACAAAGTGATATCATTTCTACCCATTAGAAAAAGAAAGCCAGAGGACAGAGTGAAGATGAGGAGAGTGGAGATCATGGAGAGGACAAGGGCTTAGAGGAAATAGGATGACATGAAACTAAATGTTAATGCAGTTGTCAGAGTTGGTCTTAGAAAGAAGGGGAGAGACATCAAAGAAGAGAGAATGGGTTGAAATCGGATCTGTTGGGATAAAGAGAGGTAGTGGTTGATTGCTGACTGCAGTTGAGGGCATCTGTTGAGAGTGAGACAGGAACAGATATTTCAATCTTAACAGTGGAGGAGCTTGGAGTAGCTGTTGAAATCATCAGCTGGGAAATTGACCAGATGTGATGGCCAAGCTTATTAGGCAAAGTGCAGCTGAAACGAGAGTGAGTTTGTGGTACATTAACTTAGATCCTACATTTTCCTGACAGCTCTCTTAAGCATGCAGGAAGATTCAGGTCAACCGAAATGGGAATAGCTGGAGAAAAGAGTAAAAGTTTAATAAGGAGACGGAAGAGTGCTGAATTTGAGTGATGGCCTTATGTAGCTTGCTGATCACAGAGAAGGCTGGGCAAGAAATGAAGAGTTCACCAGAGGTTTGGCCAGGAAGCACTAAAGGAAAGGAAGTCCCTAGGGAAATTGGGGCATAAGAGGGGTGTGAGATTGTAGAGGTAGTGCGTTACCTTATGATGATGGAGAGCTGGGTATGGCTGTGCTGGCGTGTGGCTGTTGAGTTGAGATGTAGCTGATATGATGGAGGGACTGTGAAAGTAAGGGCCAGGGGCCAATCCACACCAAAGAAGGAAAGCCGAGTTTATCGTCTGAGACGTGGTTCTCAAACTAGTGCGTACATCTGAATCACCTGGTAGGCTTGTTAAAACCCAGATTGCTGGGCCCCGGCCACTGAGTTTCTGATCCCGAGGGTCTGGGGTCAAGCTACAGGATTTCCAGTTATTACACTTGCTTAGGTTCATGAAACACATGTTGAAAATCACTGCAGATGAAGAAATAAGTCCTGGAGAGAGTAAACAATAGCAACAGTGACTTGAAGAGTGGCATTTGAATATTATTATAGGTTTTATAATCCTGAACTCAACTTTAATTGGAATTTACACAGGGGATCAAATGATACTGTGATAACAACTATATAAAATTACAAGTTCTTGTGGTCAAATATAAGTAAAAAATGGGAAATTTTAAAAAATGATTTTATTTTCATTTATGTGTTTTTACTATAACAAATAGTACTTTGTCTGATGCTTGGCCATATATCTGGTCAAAATTTCTTAGCAGACAACTTTCACAGGTATTCCAAGCTTCCCCATTGTTAAGCCTGAAATCCCCACTCCAATACTAGTGAGAAGTTTCTCAAGTTTAATTTCTAGTACTGTTGTTGCACTATTGTTGGTACTAAAAAGAGACTTTCCCACTCTGACCGGTTAGGCTCAGTGGATAGAGCGTCGGCCTGCGGACTCAAGGGTCCCAGGTTTGATTCCAGTCAAGGGCATGTACCTTGGTTGCGGGCACATCCCCAGTCGGGGGTGTGCAGGAGGCGGCTGGTCGATGTTTCTCTCTCATCAATGTTTCTGACTCTCTATCCCTCTCCCTTCCTCTCTGTAAAAAAATCAATAAAATATAAAAAAAAAGAGAGACTTTCCCAGTAACTGACACAAACCTCAGTCTTGCCAAAGAAATGCTCAGAAAACTGGGATAAAGGAGATAACATGTTACAAAAGGAGGGGAATGATATCAGCCGCAATACTCCATATTCCGTCAAATCAATGTAAGGGGGGAAATGTCGAAATGAAGGTGTCGCTGGTTTCAAATGAGAGGCTGAAGCACATGGTTGTGTTTGCTCTAACTCGGCCTCCTCTGTCACTCTTGTTTTTTAGGCTAACTGCCAGGCAGCCAAGGGCAAGTATACTTCCACGGGCTCTTCTGGTGCTGCGTCCACCCAGTCGCTCTTCACAGCCAACTATACCTACTAGAAACAGAAAGGTCGGCTGGCTCCAGCTCTTTGAGGTGTCTTGGGAAGAGGGCTGAAAGGGAACAACCACCTTTTGACTGACCCTGGAAATCAGACCAAATTAGATTGAAGTACTGGAAACACAATACATGTTAAATTCTTAGACACAAGGGAAAAAACAATCAGTTATTGAAACTTAAGTCCAAATATCAAGGATTGGATGAAATTTCACACTGCGGTTTCCTTGCCACACTTCCAGCTGCCCATGACCCAGAGTCTCCACCTAAGAAAAGAATAGACTTTAAAACGAAATCTGCTCTCCATCCAAATAACGACGACTGAGTGAAATGTCTCAGAAGCTGAGGGCAGAGAAGTGCATCTTATGAAATGATCTTAGGCGTGGTAGGTTATGAAAGGGACAGCTGTGACCAAAAGGAAATAAAATAAGCTATAAACCTTCAGTTGGTGTTGGGTTTTACTTTTTGCTCTTGTTTTCAAAGGACTCAGTATATTTCATTACCTTTGACTCTACTAGATGTGATTGATGTTATGGTTTAGGGTCCTCAACTTTGGCTACTCATTGGAATTACCTGAGCCCAATTAAATCAAACTCTTGATGTAGGATCCTCTAAATACCAGGGTTTCTTAAAGCTCCTTTGATGATTCCATGTGGAGCCAAGTTTGAGAATGACCACTCTAGATTTCAAGTTTGAGGCTCCCCCAAAATGAAAGCCATTTAGTATAATTTGAAGCTAAAATGTGAACTGATTTTGAGAAACATGTGGAGGCTATTGAGAGAATCAATGTGACTTTGCTGCTTTGAGCATTCCTCTTCAAGCGGCCCAGGTTTGATGAGACAGGACTACATGTTCCTCTGCACAGCCAAGCACACAGCCTACTTTTGCAGTAAATAATATTCACATAATTATACTTGATTGGCTTTCCATTTTCAGAAAACCATAGTTACAAAAGAGAATTTAAATGTTGAAACTTTGGATGACATAATGATTTAACTGACAGAAGGGAAATTCAAAGGGGAAGAGAAATAGAGGAAAGCAAAGGGAGCACTAATCCACTTAGTGGGGAGTCAGGAATTCCGCTTAAAATTGATGGATTAAGAAATAGTGTTTTAAGTCTACTAAAGTAATAAAGGAAATAGATATAAATCATTACAAGAGTAATACCTATAATTAAAATATAGGAGAAGGAAGTAAACTAAATTCTTTGCCTTGAAGAGTACAAAGGTAAATGTTATTGCTTAGAGTTGATAAATTAAGAAATAGAGGCATAAGCACATTATTTAGAGGAATAAAATGGAATTAATCCAAAGGGCCTTCTTCCGATGAGAAAGACCTGGTAGTGGGTGTAAGGAAGGAATTATTTATAAATTTAATATATATGTTATATATTTATAAATTATATATATAAGAAATTACTTATTATGTGTCTCTAGGACATTTGGCTATTTCCATGTACCTGCATTACTTTCTAAAGACAAGGAACTATATCCATATGAGCAATTCAAATCCACCTTAGAGGTTATTTAGCCCAAGTCTTTCATTTTACAGAAGATAAAAACCAAGGCTAGAACAGTTAAATTACTGGATGATGGTCACACATTTGGGGGGAGTAGAGCTGAGAGATTAACATTCAGGACTCTTTCTCCTAAAAGGTACACATAACCAGGGAGCAGGTAAAGGTGGCAACAGGCAGTGTTCAATACCTCTGCCACCAGAGTTGGTCTTCTACATTTCTTATTGCATCCATTCATTCCATCAGCCACTACTTGAGCTCTTACCATGTGCTGAGCTGTCCTAAAAGCTTTTGTCACAACACCTGGTGTGACAAAGCTTTTCTGCCAGAAAACTTTTATCTAGAGCTTACTCAGCACCACTGGCCCTCTGTGGTAGAGAAACCTCTTAGACACTCATTTATGGGTTGAACATGAATTTATAATCAAGGCTGAGTTATTTATATCTTTTGGTCAAGGCTGAATTACATTTCACTGAGGGTGAGGATTTATATAATGCATTTTCCCTGGCTACTATCTGACATATTTTCCCTACTAAAGAACTGCAAATGTCTTTGAAATCTCAAGCCAAGTAATTTCCTCCACTCAGGGTAATATGAAGACAAGAGTTATGAAGCTACAGGCTTCAATTTCTATTAACTGTGTGGTCACTGAGTGAATATATCAATGGCTTCCTAGATTTCGGTATTCTGTCAGATTTATTCTAGAAGTTGTTGAATGCCCACTAAAAATAAAACCTGGTACTAGGCACTGAAAGTAATTTTTAAAAATTTCAGCTTTAGGGTAGCCAAGGCATTTGTATATAGACAAACTTAGGTAGCTAAGCAAGAAACACAAATGCTATTGATTGGAGGTTGAGGAGTGGGGAAGACAGTCTATCAGTGTAGCTGGGTACAGAAAGGGAAGTAAGGACATCTATGTTGGAGATCACAGGATGTTAACAAGGAAAGGAACTCAGAAAAGGAACTGCCATTGTGTAAGAAAATTCTTTGATAATTCAATGGGAGAAGATAATACCTCGAAGGCATAAGTATCAAAAGACAAGCCAAAACAATTACTAAATACTGGAAGGAATAAAAAGAAGAGTTTGTTTTTTGCTCTGAAGAGGGAGGGTGAGAAAAGGGAAGGAAGAGGTAAGGAAAAGAGGGAGAGGAGCCCAGCTTGTGTGGGTAAGGAAAAGAGGGAGAGGAGCCCAGCTTGAGCATCAACCCATGTACCAAGAGGTCACTGGTTCAATTCCTGGTCAAGGCACATGCCTAGGTTGTGAGCTCAATCCCCAGTAGGGGCGTACAGGATGCAGCTGATAGATGTTTCTCTCTCATTAATGTTTCTATCTCTCTCTCCCTCTCCCTTCTTCTCTCTCAAAAATCAATAAAAACATATTTTTTAAAAAAGGAAAGAGGGAGGAAAAAGGAAAAATGAGAACGAGGAGGAAGAGAGAAGACATGGAGATACTAGGCGATATGGAATTGTGGGGAGATGACTAAAGGACTTTTAAGGAGAGATATTAAGTAATCTAAAGATATGTGTCTTCTTGATAGGAAGAGCCTAGTTTCACATATGAGTCTACATCATGCTTTACAAAAACGAGATGGGACGATTCATAATGTGAATTTAACAGAAGCAGAAGCTGACTGTAACGATGAGAATATCAGCCTCTGGGGTCCAGTATGCTAAGGAAGTTGCTCAAGGTCACAAAACCAGTAGGTGAGACCAGTGTGATTTGCAAAGTCCTCAAGACTTTCAGATAAAGAATTGTGGACCTGCCCTTAGAACAATACCTGCCACACTTTTAGGGTACCAGGTGAATTATCCATGCTCAATAGAGCCTGAGGACTCATGCAATGCTACCAATTCCCTACCTAAGCCCATTTTCTAGAGGATGAATTAAGAGATAGGAATAACAGCAAAGCTCAACATAGCCAGACACAGGTCTCTTTCCATTACTCAAATAAACATATTTTTCTGGCTGTAACACAATCTGTCCCAAGCCTTCTAAAATAGCCTAACAGTACTGGGCATCAATATACGTAAACATATAAAATCAGTCAAGTATCCATTCAGCACTTACTGTACGCTTTGCCCTGTAAAGATACTACAGGGTCCTTCTATGCTTACCATTGAGATGAGGAAAACAAGGACACAATTAGGAAACATAATGGCACACAATAATGTGCTAAACCGCAGAGGCATAGGCCAGTGCTGAGGTCAAAAGGGAAGGAATGCTTTACAAAGATGAGTTGCAGGTAGTTTTTTTGTATGATCTTGGGAAACATACTTCCTCTCTCTGAGCCCTGTTCCTCATCTGTAAAACAGGGCTGTTGTGAGGTTAGCAATATTCTATGTACAGTGCCAGATACGTAAGTTGTGAATAAATATTTTCCCCTGTCAGTGGGCTCTTGAAGAATGATAAAGGCACTTGAGAGTGGAGATGAATTAGCTGTGTCCTGACAAGAGTACAGATTATACATGTTGAGGATATTGTGGGGAATTTGACTAGAATGGTGAGACCAAGCGGAGTGGCACAGTAGGAGAAAGGGAGCTTGGGCAGAGATATTATGGAAAATCTTGCCTCGATGAAATGAGAAATAGGGAAATGTGAATAATTCTTGCACAGGGAATAACATGATAAAAGAGTATTGCTAAAAATTATTGTTTAGAATATAGAAGATTGGGAGGAAACTGGAAGCCAGCTAAGTGTGTATAATAGCATAGGGCTTAGCCCCTTGTTGGTAAAAGTTGGTGAGTGGACATGACATCATCAGAGGAAAACAACGAATTTCTCCTTATGCAACATAGCCATTTGCCATCCTAATAATGTCTCTCTTTTATTTCAACTTGGGAGGCAAGTACTGGGACAAATGAAAATTCAAAATAATTCTACATCTAGTTCTTAAAAAGAGGCTTACATACATACAGACTCAGCTCTTGGAGCACGGTGGTACAATGAAACGGAGCATATTTTAAACATAGCACCAATTCTCCCAGCGGGTAGAACAACCAGTGCTAGGCTGCAACCTGAGAGCTCAGGTGTCAGAGAAATCTACCCTGCCCTCCTAAGATAGCCAAGCGCAAGTCATCTCTCTGCAGCCACTTGAAACTTTTCCTTGGCCTGCCCTGGTTTTACTTTGGGGGAATTTACAGGCCAAAGAAATCAGAATGCACTTCTTGTTTCCAGGAATGCAATGACTGTCCTGTGACGTGGAAGTTTATCACAGCCATTGGACAGACATGAAAAAAGTTCTTGAGAACTCCACTTCTGAACAGGAGATAGTACAGGCAGAGATACGCACTCTGTCTTATTTGTGCGAGATGTGTTAGAACTGTTTTGGAAAGTTAGGTGATTTTCTCCCAGTCTGTACTCTATGGAATACATTTGGCTTACTAGTTACTCCTTCATCTCCTAGAGGATAAAGGACTGTTTGATGCAACTAAAACTTATTGCATTAATATAGCACCTAGAGGGTATTTTAAAAATACATGTTAATTGAACTTATAGTATTTGGACATTAAATATTTGCCCTATTTGTCCATGCATCATGGTAATAGAGATGACTTTAATTAAAAAGAAGCCGATCTACCCACCGCCATCAACCACCCAAGGCCACCACTTTTGAAGGAGACAGAGAAGGTGAAAGGTATCAAATACTGATTAGGAACAGTGACTGTAATAGATGGACTACAGAAAAAGTTGAAATTTATAGTGCATGTATCATGCTCAACTGGGTATGCCTAGATTTGCTGACATCCTCCTAGGAAGACAGATGAAAGTGAAATGCCTCACTCATCAAAATTACAGAGAAATGGAATATTTACAGTGATTTCCATTTTTTTTCCTTCACCACCAAGGACTCCTTTTTCCTGGTTGTTTTATGTTACCCACTGTGATGGTTAATTTTTTCAACTTGACTTGGCTAAGGAATGCTGGTA